CTTAAAAATCATAACAATATTTTAACAATAATAAACATAATTATATTAATTACAATAACCATAATAATAATCATAATAAAAATCATAAAAGATAATAAAAATCATAAGAATAATAATCATAATAAATAATAAAAGTCATAATAATAATGATACAAATCATAATAATAATCATAATAATCAGGGGCGGATCTAGCCTTTTCTCGAGGGAAGGGGGTGGATTTTCAAAAAAAAATTCGAAAGTTTTGTCGACCTTTTTTTAGGTCGACCGAATTGATCTTTCGAGCTCTCCCTAAGCACGGTTTAGTCCCTGTTTTGGCCAAAATTTCTGTGCCGCTGGCAAATTTTTGAACAAACAGTCCAAAAAAGGCGTTTTTGGGCACTTTTTGGAAAATTTTAACCAAAAAATCGAGTTTTTTCGGCGCGCACTCCCCCGTCAAAGTTAGTATACATTGTCGCCGAAGGCGCCTTTACAAAAATTTTTGGGTCAGTCGGCCAAAAATGAATTTCTTAATAAGTACCAAAGGGGGGAACTCTTTGGGTCGGCATGGGGTCGAATCCCTCAGGAAAAGACGTCCGCCCCCCAACCCCACCCACCCTCCCCTTAATCCGCCCCTGATAATAATCATAATAATAATCATAATAATAACAATAATAATAATAATCATAATCATAATAATGATAGTTATTGTTATTATTGTCAAATTAATGATAATAATCAGAATAATAATAATCATAATAATCATAATAATCATAATAATAAGAATAATAATAATCATAATAATAATCATAATCATAATAATTAAATAATATAAATAATAATAACAAGACTGCTCGTATCAGGGCGAAGCCCTGAATGTTCCGACTGCCTTTTAAGGTTTCTGGAGGAGTAATAACATAAAAAAATTGAATTTCATAAAACAAAATGAATTTTTTTTTTTGAAATTCGAAGTTTTTTCTGAAAATCATCCCCCCACGCGCCATATAAAGTACAACAGAGTAGATTTCGCTGCTAGTAACAATCAATTATGGCAAATAAGCGTCTTTCAACTAATTTGGAACGATTTTAAGACGGATTAAATCTCCGCTTACTATCGCGCGTTAATATATCGCGCGATAATTGTCCCAAATTGGCCAAAATGCCAATCTTTAAACCCCCATAACTTTACGAAAAATGGTCACAGGTGAAATATCTTTTCAAATTTAAGCTCATGACAACAATACCCTTTGAACGATATAAAATTCCGTCAAAAATGGCTAGTTAAGAAGTCGAAATTTGTCTGAAGAAAAAAAACCCAGCCCGAGCACAAATATTCCGTTACTTTCGTATCGAAAGTCGGAACAATATAAACAAGACTGCTCGTATCAGGGCAAAGCCCTGAAGGTTCCGACTTCCTTTTAAGGTTTATGGAGCAGCAGTAATAACATAAAAAATTAAATGAAATAAAATGAAATGAAATTTTGTTTCCTCCAAAATTTGAAACTTTTTGTAAAAATCACCCCCCACACGCCATATAAAGTACAAAAAGATAGATTTCGTTCCTTGTAACAAATCAATTGCGGCAAATAAGCTTCGTTCAACAAATTTGGAACGATTTATAAGACGGATTAAATCTCCGCTTACGCCTTAATAGCGCGAATTATATCGCGCGTTAATTGTCCCAAATTGGTCAAAATGGCCAAAATGGCAATCTTTAAACCCTCATAACTTCACGAAAAATGATCACAGGTGAAATATCTTTTCAAATTTAAGTTCAGGACAACAATGGTTTTCGAATGATATAAAAAAAATTCCGTCAAAAATGGCTAGTTAAAAAGTCGAAATTTGTCTGAAGAAAAAAAAACCCACCCCGAGCACAAATCTTCCGTTACTTTCGTATCGAAAGTCGGAACAATAATAATAATAAAGCACGGATGCTGGGGGTACTCATTCAATTGAGTACGAAACGACAAGAACTCCTGCTGAATTTGCCTTAACTTTTGGTCATTCGTTGGGAACATGTTGTGATTCTTTTGACTTGATTTGATTGAGCAAAAGTAGTTGCAAACACTGCAAAGTGAAGTCATTATCATCTGCGTAGAATATGAGATGGAGAGGGTAAATAACTTGCCCCTGGACAATACTATTTAACGACAAAACCTAACTTTTTCCTAAAGCGTTTTCGGATGAATGCATTTCAGCAATTGAACGAACCAAAAGTTTTCCGGCCAGCCTACCACAAAAAAGCAATATACTTTATCTGAAGTTATTTCAAAAAGCTAGGAAAATTTCTAATCATCATAAATATTGCAGAAGTGGGATGAAAAGGAAGGGAAAATTGCCCGTTATAGTATTTTGGAGTTGATGAATCTCCAATGAATGTGCAATTGCCAATTTCATCATAGTATCAGATCTATTTATAACAAGCATCCGCGATGGTCCATTGGGTTGGGCGCCACTATTTTTGCTCGTGTATTTTGTTAAAAAAGGATTGATTGGATTAACAAGACAACTTTTTGGTAAATTTAGACGTTTTTTGTCAGTTTAACCAAATTATATTCAATTTATCGGCTTGCGTTAACCAAATGACTCCCTTATCCCTCCAAAAAACACTACACTTTCCTATCATGTGTGTCCTTGGAAAAACCTTAGAGCCAATCATCCAGACATTATCAGTAAAACTATATTATGATCCCGTAATGCGAAAAATGGTTGGCGATCAGAGATAATGAGGGATCCTGAAAACATCGATTTGAAGCGATTGATAATGCAGTATGATAAAATCTAATTGGCTGACAAACATTAAGTTCAAGTGAACATCTCCCGCCAAACTTGATTTAAGGCGAGATTGTTCACTTTGTCTGATAATCGTTTTAGTTTGATTCCAAAATATTGTTGAAGGTATCGATATAAATAAAAACTTTGGCACATTACAAGTATAATTTTACACATATTTCTCAAACATATAAATCAGTTTTAACCGATTTAAATCCATCCATTTTATGAATAAGTTTTTTGTGTATTTCCGATAATACCGGCAATGGTTATTGATCCGACTTTCGTAACGAGAGTAAAGGAATATTTGTGATCGAGGTAATATTTTTTCGGACAAATTTCGACTTTTTAACTAAGAATTTTTGACGAAGTTTGTTTAAGCAAACCGAAAGCCATTGTTGCCTGGAGCTCAAATTTAAAAAGATATTTTATCTGTGATTATTTGTCATAAAGTTATGAGGGCTTAAAGATTGCCGATATGGCCAAATTAGAACGATCTATTTCGCGCTATTAACATGTGAGCTGAGATTTAATCCTTCATAGAATTTGCTCTAAATTGTTTGAAACAGACTACTTTGTCATAGTTTCTACTTTACTAAGAGCGAAATCTATCACCTTGTACTTTATATGGTGTCTGGGGGGATGACCTAAAAGTTTTGTAATTCTTTTTATTGAAAAATAAGCATTTTTTAAAAGCGAAACTTGCTTCATTGTCCTTACAGACAGTCGAAAAGCTCAGGGTTTCGTCTTGACACGAGCAGCCTTGTTTTTGTCTTGTTGTAAATATATTTGCAGATAGAGATCACTTTAACATCCTCAAACCTGCATCGTTTTAAGGTTGACGAATTTAACTTGACTTTAATTTTGATTTTTTTCATAAAATCATTATAGAAAATTTAATTTGATTCTGATCTATTTTTTATTCAATTTCTCATATTTCATCAATTAGTTCACATAACTGATTTTTAATAAGAGCACAGTTTTTGATTCAAAATATTTAAGTTGTTTTCTGGTTATGAATAAAAATTAAGATGAGAGCGAACAAGACTGCTCGTATATCAGGGCAAATTGCTGAATATTCCGACAGCACTTGCAAGCCAGTTGAAAAAACGTTATTTAACAATTGACAAATTAATAAAAGAAAACCTATTTTGTTTTTATCCCCCCACGCTAGGTGAAGTTCAACGGGATGTTTTTAGCGTCTGGTACCCTAAAAATATGACCAAATGATTTGCTTCATTTTAATTAGGCCGAATTAGCGATATTCAAACCCTCGTAACTATACCAAAAAGATCACAGGTGAATTTCAGTTTATATTTGAGCTCAGGATCTTAATATATTTTTTAGGTTCTAAAAAAATTTCCGTCAAAAGCGGTTAGTTAGAAAGTCAAAAATTGATTGAAAAAAGGTGAGCCAATTGAAGCATAAACTTTCTTTTTCTTCGAAAACCAGAACAATGAGAGGAAAGTGCAACAAGCCGTCATATAACAAAAAACTTCATATATACAAGCCAAAAAATCAACAGTGTAGAGTAAAATAGAAAAATTTTTCGTTCCAATTGTGGATGACGTTTATTCATGCCTTTCATACTAAAAAAAACGATACGATTCAATAGGAAAAACTATAACGATGTAAAGATTCTCTCAACTTAAATCGAGTAAAAAGTTTTTTGTTTAGATTAGCCTTAAGGTAATCACTAACAAATAAAACCATTTGATTTCCACCATTATACTCCGTATGTTTAGATTTTGGAATTCAGGAGGTGTGAAGGAACTACGGCGTAGGGTAAAATTTCCTTTTGCCGATTTTCAGTACCACAAATGCAGCTCGTTGAGGTTCAAATGGGGTACCTTAATAAAGCAACATTAGCTGGATTTGGATTCCGAAAATAAAAACTCAAGAAGTTGTCACAGTCGAAAAAAATTGATCTGGATGTTTTTTAGCTCTTCAGACTAGTGATATTCAGACTGAAATTTTCAGATTTAATTTTCAGTCTGATTATTCTGCTTTTTTCTTGAGCTAACTGCATTCTATGGCTCATTTACATATTAAGTATCCCCTTCGCTAACTAAAACTTTTTTTTTTTCATTTTTAGTTTTTGCTAAAAATTCGCTTGGTCGGATTAATCCGAGCTACCGCCTGTCCTTGTTCCATTTTGGGCTCGTTATCCCTTCTGCTTGTTGGCTTAACACGAACGATAATAGCGAATTATAATAATAATGACGAGTGATGCATGATGGTGACTCACCTGCGATGACGAAGAAGACGCCACTGAGGAAGAAGTAGATTCTCTTGTACAGAGTGGAGAAGTAGCCCATCACATTCACCAGTAGTCCGCTCATCAACACCACCAGACAGAAGCAAGGGTAGATGAGAGTATTGCGCACAATACGTTCTGAAAGATACAAAGTACACCACTAAATTACACTTGAACACTTCGAACGAGGAACTGTGCAAACATCCGATACGTCAAACATCCGAACAATGGAAAACTATTGTAATTAACCAAAAACAGCTAGCTTTACTGGGACGCGATACTTAGCGATGCGATTGCTGGAAAACTGTATAGTTTTGAAATGTTTTTCACTTGACCGACAACCAATGAGTGAGAGCAAAGATCCGACGTTTTACTCGGGCAAAGATCCTATATTGGTATGCTACTACTAATTATTATGAAGTTCGGTTGTTTGTTTCATGATGAAAACATCCAAACTATCATAATAGTTGCGTAGTTTTTCATATCCGATATTTAGCATTCGGATGTTTCCACTTGATATCCTGCAGAAATATTGTGCAATGAATGAAGCAACCAGTAGTTAAGTAACTAACGTATGGCTCCGAGTGTGGAGGATGACCTCTGAAGGGGTCCGGTCAAGGTCACTTCGCAACAGAGGTCGCTGTCCACTCGCCACGGAAGACTGGACAGGTTCACCTTTACATCCCCGCGTGCATTGTCTGCAAAACGAAACAAATGTCAGGGCGTTGCAAAAGTTTCGGAGAGACAAAGTTGAATAAAAAAGAAGCATGTCTTATTACACAATAAAACGATTTCAGACTAAGTTGAAACATTTTTCCTTAAACGGCCATTTTTGAAATGCCCAAGACTTTCAGTCGCGAATAGAATAGGCGAAACCAAAAAATATTTAATTGCCAAAAAATGATCTAAAACGTTGAGGCTTTCAGAATAAGGGACATAAATTTTGAAGAGAGACCTCTCAATTCAACTCTGACGAGATCTTAGCGCTATTTCGTTGTAGCTATTATTACTTCTTATTCTTGCATTTTTAACCTAATTTAAGTCGCCCTTACTGAAATTAATTCGCCCGTAGCGGGAACTGATTATGAAATGGAGATTTTTTTTCTTTGAAAATTTGAAAAATGTTTTAATTTTTTGAGAAAAAAAATCTAGTAATTTGAAGTTTTTTTAGTTTAAGTATTGTGATGAGAGCATTGAACTACTTGCAGAGCGATTTAATTAAAATTGTTCCAAATTTATCCGTTTGTTAGTTTTTTGATTGAAAATGATAACAGGTAAGTTGTTGGCCCACCACTTCACAAAATCAAGAAAAGAAATTACAGCGTGAAATGTGTATGTTAATCCCCATTTTTCTGCCTCGAGAAAAACACTATTGGTTGTGATTCTCATTCCAAATAAAAATCTAAAACTACTTTCTCAATGTCGAAAAAAAGGATGCCATCGGTTTGCAGAATTAATTTGATTTTCATTTAAACTTTTTATTAAAGAATTGTTTTTTCAATTTCTTTTTTGTTTTTGATCTTCTTGTGTTAAGTTCTTGAGACGACTGATTCATTCCGAGTTACTTCCATCCCCTAAACTCTTGCAAAACTTTAAAAATCAATCTGGAAAAATACAGCAAAAATAACAACAATTTATTTACAAAAAAAAACAGTTTTTGGAATTTTTGCTTCATTTTTAACTTTAATTAATGATCCATGTTTTTGGTTCATTTTTAACTTTAAATGTCAGTGACTTCAACGAAATCAAAATATTTAGCGAAATTCATGAGACAAATTAGCCCTTCACATCTTTTTCAATTTTCAAAACCACCTACAATCATGTCCCGCAAAGGATAAAATCTGTTCAAGGTCCAATAAACGGGGCTATTTTGTCGCTCAGGAAACGTAAATCATATGGGAGACAGCAACAATGAAGAGGAACAAGAAGAAATTGAGTCCGAGAGTCAGGGAACGGAACTCGATCCAGTCGCTTTTGCCGAATATACATCTAAAGATGGTTGAGGAGAATATCAGGTCGATAAATTCTCAGTAATGGCAATATCGGAGGCCTTCGAGATTAAAAACACAACAAGTCTGTCCGAAGATGTCCTAAAAGGGCACATAATTAAGTTGAAGACAGAAACAGAAGATTTATTCGCAATTTCCGATTCCGGCAGCCCCATGTCATTCCTGAATGAAAAAACAGCTCGGCGATTACAAGAAAATGACAAATCCACAGTATTTAAACAAATTCCACTGGGAGATACAGCTCCAAATTTAGCATGTTATAATGGTGAAACAATTTTTCCGAAAGGAAGATTAATTGTAACAATTGAATCAGGAGGCTGGAAAATCAGAGCTGCCCCATTCATCATTGTCGATGAACAGAACGCAAACATTATAGGCAGAAATATATTACCACAAATTGGAGTAAAATTAGTACAAGAAAAACAGAAACAAAGGGACGTGCTGAATATACACGAACAAGAAGATTCGAACCCTGAAATCAAACAATGGTTCAGAGATAACTATCCAAAACTATGCATATGTATTATAAAGTCAAAAAACGACGTAATGTGAGCGCAATTCAGTAAAGATATTATCCCAATCCAGCAGAAAGGACGCCGTGTTCCGGTTCACCTACAAAATTGAATGGAAAAACAACTCAACAAACTTATGAATCAAAAGCACATAAGAAAACTGGGTCGATGCTCAGATCGACATTTTATCAGTCCAATTGTGATTACCGTAAAAAAAGTCCAGACCATAAAATTGGCATTGGACTCGAAAAAGATAAACAAATTTATTCACAAAAATAAATACCAGATGCCTAATATTGACTTGCTGTTAGACAACATAGCACAAGAGGTGAAATCGAACAGCAAACAGCAGACCCTATTCTCAATATTGGATTTGCGATCCGCGTATTCACAAATATCGCTGGACAAACCAACTCGAGAAAAATGCAACTCCAGCCTAATTGGCGACAATGCCACCGGGACTTACCAATTCCAAACTAAATTTTACAGCTTCACGGATGTGCCAACTGAATTTCAAAAGGCCATCCACTTAAGCCTTACCAATTGCTTAAACACCTATGCATGCCTAGTCGACATATTGAGCGTGACGAAGGGGTCAATTGATACACACAAACAAAAACTACAAATGATTCTGGAAAAATAGATGCAGAAAACCTTGCCATATCATTGGACAAATGTAAGTTTGCTTTTAGACAAGCTGAAGCGCTAGGATACACTATAAACAGTGAGGGCACTACACCATTGATAAGAAAAATAGAGGCAATCGAAAAACTCTCACCACCAAAAGCATTTAAACAACTAAAAAGCTTTATGGGCTCCATACACCATCTCACCAGATACATTTCAGATTTGGCACAAGCAGCAGCAGCAGCGTTACGAACACTGTTAAAAAACAGAGAAAAATAAACCAATTTGTTGGAAACAGGAACACAATGCATCATTTGAAAACATTAAAAAGCCTCTGAAATAAAATAAACATTTTTGACCAAAACCTAGAAACGCGTTTAGTAACTGATGCTTCTACATCAGGTTTAGGGGCGTCACTCGAACAAAATTCACACGAAGGCTGGGTGGCAATAGCTCATGCATAACGACTTTTAAATTCCTTTGAGCAAAAATTTTCCACGAGCTCGAATTACTCGGGGTTGTGTGGGCCATTAAAAATTTTAAATATTATCTTTATGGAAAACATTTCACCGTCATCACAAATCATCAAGCTTCGATCAGCGCGCTAAATGCAAGCGAAAGATCAAAAACCAGTCAAAGCAGATTAACTCGATGGATTGATCGACTAATCCCATTCCATTTTGATATCAAACAGTTTGCGGGTAGCAAAATGGGGCTAATAGAGTATATGTCACAAAATCCAGTTGGATTGGCGCTACCCGCAAGCGAGTATAATCAGGAATTGGTTGTAGCATCAATTAATGCCTTCATAAATAACTTAGAAGTGATTGACAACGTCGTTCCTAATAAGTTAGCCAATAGGAATATGGCACCGTATCAGCTGATCAAAAAGCACGTGAAAAACAAAACGACAACAATTAACACTTCAAACCTTCATTTGAAAAAACAACATTCCAAAAATTCCGAAAGCGGTCAATTGCAAAGACCGAAACAAAATCAGTTCTGCTCAAATCATTCTGAAACTCAGTCAGCTGTAACACGAATAACAAACTCAACAGCAAAAACACATCTTCGAAACACAATCGTACCGTCGGAGAATTCAATCCATCTTATCAACCATTTAAACAGAACACCGAAAATGGACCGAAAACAAGAATTAAAAAATTAAAAAGGCGGATTCATTCCGGACGAAGTAAAATCCTTAACACCACGTGGAAGAAAGGAGCAAAAAACTTCAAATTAGCAGGGGATGTCGCACAGAGAGGAGAACCTATCAGATCCTCGGTGGCACAAAAGACGTCAACGACTTTCCTCAAGGCCACCAGTTAAAAATTTCCCAAACACACACTCAGAGCAAGGACGACACAAGCAGTACAAACCGAGAACTGCAAAGTGTTTGCGGGGACACAAACTGACAATAGGAAGGACCAGACAGAAATGCAAGATCATTACGTGAGTAGAATAAACTACAACATTGCAAGCCAGGAGGAACGTGCCCCAAATGAGGAAGCGCCGACAATGACGAAAACACAACTAGAAGCTAGCCACCACATGATAACCGAAGGGATAGTGGCTGCAGTAAATCAAGCGACAATGGCAGAGACGGAAGAGGACACACCGTTGTTCCGGAAAAAAATACAGAAGGTTCTGGGAACAAAGTTAATCGCCGCAGCTACCAGAAAGGATAGAAATCTGAGACCACCCATCAGTTTCGTCAAAAAGCGGGATTGGGACTCAATCAATTCTTCCTACAGCCAATACTGGTTCAATGTCCGCAACCGTTAACATGTGCGTGAGGACTGCTTGCTCATTCACGAACGTATCGTCATTCCAACACAGCTGCGTAAGACAGTTCTGGACAGCCTACATCTGACACACCCAGGGTCGGCCGCCCGCTGGAATTATGCCAAAAAAGGTAGTTCCCACACATCCATCGCTCAATTGTCCAGATGGCGCAAAGATGCAATTATTGCACAGAGCAAGGTAAAAACCTCAAACCAACAATAGGGAAAAAACATTCATTACAAATGGATTCGGTCGTAGAACCAAATGAAGAGGTACAATTAGGTTTTGCCGGGCACTCCCCGATGAGCTAAATAAGGACGCTTACATACTAGTAGCAATAGATAAATGCTCGAATTTCCCAACAGGAAAAAACGTTTCAAATACTACGGCGGATGTCGTCATAAAATATATGCAACGGTATATTTCAAATAACGGAGTTTTCCGTGGTTACCATGTGACCAAGCACAAACATTTAGACCGGAATAATTCCAGCATTTTTATAACACAAATAACAATAATTTACTCTTCGCACCGGTAGATGACCATAGAGCCATAGGGGTAGTCGAAAGATTGATACAAACACTGAAACGTAGAATAGGGGTAAGGAGAATAGATCCGGTAAATACACCATACAAATAAGTCTGACGTTGCCGAAATAATGAAAACCCTGCGAATGCCACCACATGGTGTAACAAAAAATTCACATTTTGAAGCAAACATGGGTAGAAAACGAAAAACTCATCTACCCAGCGTGGCAACAACTAGCTCATCTAACAACCTTAATTGGGAAAATGCCAAACACTCATGCTTAGATCGAAAGAACCTGACAAAGCCACCCTTGCCAGTAGAAATCATGCACGATTTGCAACAATGATCGGAGTATGAAGTCTCAGTAAATCAACGACAACAGGTGCCACGTAAAATGACAGAAGCAAACAAAACAACAACACTAACAACAGGTGCAAAATCCAAAGGAAATATAGAAAAAATATAAATAAACTAAACAAGAGGTATACAGGAATACGGACACCAACTAATAAAAACATTAGCTAACGACTAGATCAAGTGGCAAGAAAAACAATCCGAGTGGACTCTAAAGTGAAAGATCCTAAGACTTTCGAACAAAAATATAAAACAATTTTTGACGGAAAGTTTTTTTATACACACCGCATACAGCATCGGTACAAGCATTTGGGAATCAACCAAGATTGTTAGGAAATAGTGTGGTTGCATCTTTTCCTAATCCGTTAATCTACGGACCGTGTCGTTCATCACGGTTAAGTGACTACGTAGCGTACAAATCCGCGAGGAGATCAGGACCTTGTCTTCATTTTTTAGACATCGAAGACCCAAAAGCGCCTCAACACAAAATGTTCAATGAGGATTTGGGAACAGGACTCATAAAAAATCTAACACGAAAGGAACAAGTAAAGATCCAAGACCGTTAATCAACTCTAGCAAAAGCTTTGGGGGACCCCATCCCTATCAACTCAATCGAAGAACCAGAAACAACCGAACAAAAAAGCCGGTGAAATTTAACGTCGACTCTCCGCCAGAGCAACAAACATAGCCAACTAAACCAAACCTAAAGGCCCGAATCCAGGAAATGGGCTTCACAGATAAAACACGCGAATATCAGGCCTGTGTGAACTTTCTCGAGGCAATTAGCCCGAATAATAAAGGGAAAACAACAGACAAAATCATAGATCTTATTTCATCAGATGACAACCCAAAGAAGATGGAGATACTGTGCGTAGAAACAAAGCAAGGTGGGAAACAAATGGACAGCACAGTCAACGAAGCCACGCAAGAAGAACATGAGAAACTGGAGGACGACAACAACAACTAAGAAGCAAGAGAACTAAATTTAAAAAAAGGAAATCGGAGAAGAAAGATTGAAAGCGCGAAAAACTACTTGAAAAATTTCTGCCAAAGGGGAGGTCATCCGTTACGGATAGATATACTCAACATCATTGATACATATTTATTTGATTAATCAATTTATATTTTATCTGGTCAGTTGACCTTGGTACGGCTGCATGCTGACTTGAGATTATGAGCAGGAGCTCAGACGTTAATTTATGTTTCGCACCGAGATAACGTTTATCAATCCGTTCGGATTCGATATACTCACGTCCATACCTAGAGGTCTGACAGGCCCAATATACAGCGCCGCCATCAAAATTTTGAAAAAACAGTCCAAAAACGGCGTTTTTAGGCACTTTTTGGAAAATTTTGACCAAAAAAATGGCGCGCTCCCCCCTCAAAATTAGTATATTTTGGCGCCAACGGCGCCTTCAGAAATTTTTTGGGTTGGGTCCGTCACCAAAAATTGATATCTTAAAATAGTACAAAGGAGAAGGTGGGAAGGTGTCCAGATCCTCCACCCCCTCCCCCTAAATCCGCCCCTGTGTATCTGTTCAAACAACGCAAAAAAGCTACTCAAATAAAGAAAGAAAAGTCAAGTTTGTTTGTTCCAAAAAGAATGATGATCGGAACTTACTTTCTGCACAGCAACCGGCGTATTCTTGTGATAGTGTGTAATTGGTAGTCCTGAATAAAAATAAGATACCTTTTTGGTAGCAGAACTTCCACAGTCCAGAATGGACGACTTGAGTGATTCTGGTCTCATTTCCATTGATGTTCTGGACTGTAGACTCATAAGTGAAAAGCCAGTACTCTGAGAAGACAGACAGGACTAGAGCCCCGTAGGCGAAGAAGGAGAGCGAAGTGGCGAGGAAGGAGAACATCTTCATCTTGATACTGTCTGTCGGGTTGATCAGGTCTTTGGCCGAGAGGGGATACCTCGGGCCAACCGAGTCTCCAGAGGAACCGGACATCGTCAAAGGGGGTCCCAGAAAGTGGCAATTCCAACTTTTGAAAATTGTCTAGTTAATCCAGACCTGCAAAAAATGCCTTATTGACGGAAGTAGTGCAATGATTACGCCATGAATATCAAATATCTTCAAAAAATAATTCTAATGAAATTCTTCAATTTGGCACTGTTTTAAGACAACTGCTTTAGCATTAAAAAAAATTTCAGCAGATCTTTGCGAATGAGAATGAAAGCATTATATTCAACTAACTTATATTTTTAATTCCAAAAAGAATCAAATTAAGATTAAGTTCCTCAAAATAAAACGGAAAACCTAAATTTTAAAACAACTTTTATATTTTCGGTTTGTGTTGTTGTTCGATCTCTTTTTTGATCAATTTAACAAATGAGTATTTTGAGTGATTGCTTAAGCAATAGGAGTGGTATAATAATAAAATAGGTAATTTCACCCAAAAATCACCTTGTGCAGTATAAGAACTATCAAGATAAGAAAACAGGCTAATGTTCTTCACTTCAAACAGGGGATGAAAAATGAAATGGCACAAAATAATGATAGAAAATTACAAGTATGCCAAATGACAGCGGTCGCAATTTGGGCTAATATGAATGTATGTACTTCATTATGTGACCAAAATCTCCTCATAAAACAAAATGCGGGTTGAAATATCAACCTGAGCTAATAAAAAACATCTCACGCATATGTTGATTAATCTTACTGGGCTGATAAAAGCTGCATAAGGGAATCAAGAGTGAAATTTGGGTTTCCTGACAAAATGCAAATGTCATTAACTTCGCTGGAACAAATTTGACAAAATTAACATGGCTTTTAAAAAATTACTGCTCTTATCGTAGAGAATCCCTGCATTTCCTGTCTACCCCACTTGATGTTTTTGGGTACTTTTTTCTAGGTAAGTCTTTCGCAACCCTTAACGGAAATTAACGGAATTCTTATATCTGTTTTTTTTTTCTGCAGGCAAATTTTGATTCTCGTAGCAAGGGGACTGCTAGGAACTTCGCGAATCTAAGTTTTTTTTTCGTGTGAACTTTCAAAAAAAATTGAAACTACTTTGGTTTGCATATTGGTTCTCTGCGCCCTGACTGCTGAAAAAAAACCGTAGTTTCACGCCCCCGTCTGATATTTTTCACGGAAAAAATATCTCATGTATCTTCAAAATAGACTAATTTAAATTCGCTCCAAGCACGTAAAATTGACTCAAAAAAATTCCGTTTTCTTTTGACTGTTTTCCGAAACGACAATTCTTAACAAGGCATTGGCAAGTAAAATACGATTGCTCCTCTTCGCTCAGCTGCGCTTACATTCGGTACGAGAGGAATGGCGCGCACAAATTAGTCTTTGCTTTGTCTTTCCTTAAATTGTTGTTGCGAATTGTCGCTTGTTACAAATTGTCGCTTCACAAACTTGGTTAATATTCCGCGAGCCTACTAACAAAACTTCAGATGTTTGTTATAATTAATTGTTCCGACTTTCGAAGAAAACGGAATATTTATGCTCGGTATGGCTTTTTTTATTCAGCCAATTTTTGCCGATCGAAATAATAGCTTTCAACAAATTTTTTTAACGCATTGAAGATGTCGACTTCATGAGTTCAAATTCTATAAAAAATTTTACCTCCAATCAAATTTTATAAAGTTCTGGGGGTTTGAAAATTGCCAAATTGGCCAGGTTCTGAACTAAATTATATGCGCTTTGAAGAGTTTATTCATAATGCTGAGAGCGTAACGCGAATTGATTATGCGTAGCAATTTATCCTGCACAGCAAACATGTTTCAAATTGAATTGAGGCTAGCTAATTGGTCGTATTAATTTCGTATGACTCAAAATTTTAGACTTTAATATTATCCAAAATGTATAGGTTTTCAATATTTTCTTTTCCCAAAATTATTCGATATGCATTAAGAGACAATCTGAATTTTCAGGACTTTATCCTGATATACGACCAGTCTTGTTCAGATTCTAAAAACGTTAAAGTTTACGGCCTTACTGAAAAATCAACCAGTAAAATAAATTCCCAACTCAACTTATTGAAAATATCTGAACAAAAATTTTAAATATTTATCCTGCTCCAACTGCGTGACCTTTGCAAGTAACTGAAAACAAGTAACTGAAAACAAGGTGCCCTTTACCTTCCATAAAAAGTTTGATTCAAAAACCGATGAAATTTTTTTTTTAATTTCATCGATTTAAAAATTTGAAATTAAAAACAGATAGCTGCTTACGCGCTAGCAGTACCATTTATTTCGGGCACTAATCGATCCGAATTCTCCTATTTTGCCATCCCAAACCCTGCCATTTTACAAAACCAAAAGTGATATATATTTTAAATTAGAGCGCAGGAAGTCAAACTCTTTCGGCTTGTGTTAAAAATTCCATTCAAAATGTCTAGTTAAAAAGTCGAAAAATGTCTAAAGAACAAAAAACCGCGCTGAGACGAGAAATTTAATTATATTTTAACAAGTCGGAACAAGGAAACAAAAATTTTTAAAAATCATTTTGAATTTTTAGCTTAATAGTGTTATCCAGTTGAAGTCAAACAAAAACTCCTCAATAGTTTTAGATAAAAAATGAACAAAAATAATCATTAATATGATGATTGAATATCCAAGCCAACTTGACTTTTTGTTCCAGATTTTGAAAAATGTGACGGAACATGCTTGGTTTGTCAATTTGAGAAAAATAATGCCTGCTTTGTACGAGTTTTCTTTCAAATCATTATAAAATGAAATGTGGCAACTTAATTGTTTCAGGTAATTTGTTACTAGATAAATAAAAACTTGTCATTTTATGCATGAAATGGAGAGAAATTTAAGCCATAAATATTGATTAACTAAAAAATTGTAATTATATGTATTTTCATTTATGAAACTTCGTGGTTTTTTTGAGAAAACTTTGTGCAGATTCTCCTTTAAATGCAGTCGATTTATGTTTTCAAAAACTTGGCAAATGGGGTAAACTCCAATTTTGTTCATCAGCTTCGACTGACTGGTTAAAGAGTAGCTAAAAGTGTTAACGATAGCTTAAACAAAGATAAGCTTTGAATAGGAAAGCTTAAGTTAATATTTAAATTTGCAAAATAAATGAAAATGAAGCTTTTCTGGGTAAGTTTTTAATCGCCAATAAGTCTGGTCTAACAAAACTAAAAGAAATGGGATTTTGAACCCGGTTTTTCTCGACACTTGGAAGCTTTCATTTTTTTAGCGTTCAAATCTCGATTGAAAAGGCTTTTTATAAAAACCATTAGACTCCAGATAAAAGTAATTTACGCATCTGCTTTGGCGCAAAAAAAGTCGTAGCTGAAGCGCACTTTCACTTATTTAAGATCGCAGCAACAATGAGTTCATTGTATTGCCGCCTCCGGCCATTAAAGCAACGCTTGAGTTTGTCCCGATAATGGGGTTTTAGAATTAAGTGATCTTAGAAAGCAGAGTTGAAGTGGCGCTCACTTAAATGCTTTTTTCTCGGCTTTCAAATCTACGCAAGAAGTTTTCTAAAAACATATTTTGACTTTAAATTTCTGAGATTTTTTCCAAGCAGCGTTTGAAAAATGACGCAAAAACTCTAAGAACACCACAAAGAAATGAAATTGGATCATTAAGTATTAGATAACATAAATAAAATTTATAAAAATAAGCAATTTTTTCTCCTCAAATTATCTAGAGTATGTAGGAGGAGGTTGTATATGGTGATTAGACGATTCTCCCCGAGAAAACTGACTGATTGCAAGATAGACCTGATTGTCAATTTAAGGTGTTTCTTTACTATTTTTTGATAGATGAAAGACTTTATAGAATAAAGAGTAAATTACCTATTGTCTAGCGCACCCCTTTGAAGAACTACAACTGATACTTTTGAGGAAAGGAGTTGATGATTAGCAATTCCTTGAAAATATGTGAAAGCAAATCCGCAGAACTCTACGATTGAAATGACGCGAATAGCCCATTCAACTTACCCAAATAGTCGACAGAAATTTGCAACAGTCTTATTTATTTACTTCATCCTGGCTCAACAAATAAGAGATATCCCTATTTTAAACCAACCAACAAATATATAGAAAAAGACAGAAAAAAGAAAGGAAAGGTCTTGAATGATAAGAAAAAAGGCAAATATATATATATATATATTGATGGTTCTGTTTATGAGGGCAATTTAGAGGATAAGTTTTTCCATCAAATCCAGCAAATCGACATCATATGGCCATAATTGAGCTTTCTTCCTGCATCAAACAACACAGAACCGATAATTGGTCTTGCCTGGGAACTTTTTTCTGGCACTTGTAGAAATACTGAAGCTCGCCGGTCTTTTTATGGCTTCTTTTGCAAATACAGGCGATATGATTTCACGCCTCGCTACTGATCGATCCACTTCAGGTCAATTGGTTGGTGCGACGTCACAGCAATATTATTCTAAGTGCAATAAGCAGCTTTCCCCTCAAAGCAACCATAAAACAACCAAATATAAATCTCAATGCTCATACTCACCACAGTGCATTAACTGACGCCAACCAGAAATTGGAAAGGATAGATTTTGAAAATACATATTTATATTGATAGCTGAACTATTTGCGCTTAAAATAAAGACATCGATATGACTCAAATTAACACAATTCATTGTGGTTCCTGCGAAGCACAGAGGAGCTATCAGTAGGCTTTAGGCCTTAACAGGCCTGTCGAAGGATAGTCCGGTTGTTGTCCAATTAAAGATTATCAGGATTGAATTAGCAGTCCGGCGCGACCAAATGATTTAAGGTGGATCAAGAAATGGTAGATTTAGCCAAATTGAAATCTACTTTAACCAATTAACAACTATCATAGAAAAACAGCGATTGACAAAACGATAAAACAGCCACAGTAAAAGCAGAAACACTAGTCGTAAATAAACACCTAATTGTTCCGACTTTCGATACGAAAGTAACGGAACATTTGTGCTCGGGGTGGGTTTTTTTTCTTCAGACAAAATTCGACTTTTTAACTAGCCATTTTTGACGGAACTTTTTTATATCAAATAGTATTGTTGTCCTGAGCTTAAATTTGAAAAGATAATTTACCTGTGATCATTTTTCGTAAAGTTATGGGGTTTTAAAGATTGCCATTCTGGCCAATTTGTGACAATTAACGCGATATTTTTCGCGCTATTAACACGTAAGCGGAGAGTTAATCCGTCTTAGAAATCGTTCCAAATTAGTTAAAAGAAGCTTATTTGCCATAATTGGTTTGTTACAAGGAGGGAAATCTATCCTTTTGTTCTTTAAATGGCGTGTGGGGGGATGATTTTCAAAAAAAAATCAAATTTTAGAATTTTTTTTTTTCATTTTGTTGAATTTTTGAATGTTATTACTGCTCCATAAGCCTTAAAATGCAATCGGAACATTCAGGGCTTCGCCCTGATACGAGCAGTCTTGTTGTACTTTTTATGGCGTGTGGGGTGATGAATTTAAAAAAAAATCGGAAGTTTTTTTTTCAAATTTTTCATTTAAAAAAAAAACTTATCATTTTTTAACTCTCTAGTTGATAGACTTTAAAAGGTAGTCATAACATTCAAGACTTTGCCGTGATACGAGCAGTCTTGTTGTTCCGACTTTCGATACGAAAGTAACGGAATATTTGTGCTCGGGGTGGGTTTTTTTGTTCCGACTTTCGATACAAAACTAACGGAATATTTGTGCTCGGGGTGGGTTTTTTTTTCTTCAGACAAAATTCGACTTTTTAACTAGCCATTTTTGACGGAACTTTCTTTTATCAAATAGTATTGTTGTCCTGAGCTTAAATTTGAAAAGATATTTTACCTGTGATTGTTTTTCGTAAAGTTATGAGGGTTTAAAGATTGCCGTTTTGGCCATTTTGACCAATTTGGGACAATTAACGCGCGATATAATTCGCGCTAATAACGCGTAAGCGGAGATTTATTTCGTCTTATAAATTGTTAC